GTGTCGGTGTCATGAGGTCAGTTTATCCGCGTCCGCGAGTTTCCGAGAAATTGTTCCGAATAATAATTGATATGATTACTTGTCTGCCGTACGTGTAGGCACATGGCGTGTGTATAATTATGTACGGGAAACTTAGGTTACCTATACAGTACAACACTATCTATGCAGAAATTTTCTTCCCTGGTTTCGATTCTCCAGATGAGATTCCGCGCATCAGGTTTTTTTCGATAAAATAATATGTAGATACGGTTTATGTAGGTACAGCCTCGTCACCTCGTCCACCTCGACCCGTCCGAAATCCATCCTCGACTACCGACCGTAATATGCATAGCATAATTATTTTATGTTTATATAAATACGCAAAGGTCAACTCCAGGTGAAATCTCATTTGTGTCGCGATTGTTTGCGGTGGACCTCGATCACGTGCGTACGTGCTTATTAAACATTTAAATACTACGTCATATAGGTACCTTTCGTCTACTAGATTGAACATTTCCGAATCAGATTCAACCGTGCAGATGATAATATCGTGAAATTCCATTACAAAAAAAGTAGTAATTTTGATAGGAAATAATAATACAAAAAAAAAAAAAATTCAAGAATGAAGTGATATTTTATGGAAATGACGCACATTACGATTGGATTATAAAATAATATATATTTTTTAGCATATATTTTCTTTTCATAATTTAGTCATGAGATAATCGGACGCCCGAAAATTGAAAGAAATTAGTAACATTAAAACGAATAGATGTTTTACCTCAAACCTGTTTACCTATATGTTTATTTTATCTAAAAGTCTTATTTATATGTATTAATTTTTTTTTTCAGAACCTGTTTGTTATTTTCTTAGCATTTTGCACTAGAATATTAATATAGTTTTTTTTATACATATTATCGTTGCAATAATGTAAAATAATGCTTTTAATGTAAAACATAGTATATTATAAGTTTATATGATTATTTATATGACATTTTGTCATCAAAAACATTCCAAAAATTATCGACATGACGCATTTAACATGTATTATAGTATGTATAGTATAGGTACGCTATAATGTTTTAGTAAAAATGTTTATCATACTAGTTACCTAATTTATTATTAATTTATATACACATTAACAAAACACAAGACAATTAACTTACAGTTACTACTAACTAGAATATTTGGTATAAAAATTAATTAACCCATGGTTGTACTCTGCGAGGTTCTTCTTCTTTCCAGGAAAACACCTTCAGTCCATTGTTGTTGAAAAGCAAGTGGATGAACTTTGTTTATTACCTATTCCTAATTTGTATGTATTTTTATTCACTAACACAAACTTGTCAAATCCTTACTGCACACTTGAACACTTCCAATTTCGGCTTATAAATTAAAAATAAGTGTGCAAATACGTTATAAATGTAGTGCCACCTAAACTCAATTACGAGGTACATTCGAAAGTCAAAATCTTCTGTACGGGAGAACGACTTTAATGGTTTTTTATTTTTGCAATTGTATAAGAAATAAAAGTAATCATATGTACCTATATATATCAAGTAAATAATTTTTTTTTTTTTTTTGGAATTGCACTTGACATTGTACTATTGTAGGTACATCTCTTAAATACAAATTAAAGGAAGTGATAAGTTTCGAGACATTTAAAACTTTACTGAATTTCGTCATCGAATCCGCATGTTATAGACATGATGCATAACATTTTATACAAGGTATAACACCTATTTTATTGTTTATTAGTATACTTATATTGTAACAGTTGTGTATACATTTTTAATATAAAAGCTAGCAGGGCTCTTGCTTCAGTGTATCCGACGAGGCATGTTGTGATTCTGAGATGACTTCCAAAACCATACTGTAGTAGCTGATACCTTCGTGTTTATATGTTTACAAAGTAGTTGTTTGTGGTTAAAAATAACCAAATGAGAACCACCCCTCGTTTTACCGCATTCGACTATACGGTATAAGACTTATGGTAATGCGATATCGAGTGTCATTCGTATATAATGTAGGTGCCTACACGAGACCATCATAATATGAATTTATCACAATCGATTAGTATATTATTATATAGGTACTATAAAGTGCAAGCGCACTACGGTATACCCACCTCTTTTGCCGGTAATATTTACGGAATACGGACAATATTTTCGATATCACGCGATGTATCGTGTATAATATAATGTACCTACGTACGTATATAAATTATATTATAATATTATGATATTTATATTATTTTATATGTAAATATAATATTATGCCCTAGCGTATATATTATATATATAGGTACATATTATTATTAAACTCGCAGCTCTAACTATGCACTCGGGTGGTATACCGTTTTAATTTTTTTTCTTTTCTTTCTGTTTCAAATCTGGAACGCAGCCAGACGATGGTTTTTTTTTTACATTCGTTTTCGTCTGGTGCAGTATAATATACCTCCCGTACGCAGCCTTTGACGCGACGCATATTACTAATACCGCTGCACGCGGAACACGCCCCGCGACGGCTGCGAGAGAGTTAAATCATGACGACGACTGCGAGCATTTGGCGGATCCGACGAGAGCCAGAAAAAAATAAAATTTAATATATTATTCACACTGCCACCGAGTTCAAAACGAGAGAGGATGGAGGATATAGAGAGAGAGAGAGACAGAGTGCACATAATATTATAGAAAAGTATAATACACGAGCGCATAGAGGAGGAACAAAAACTGTTATTTATCGCTCACGCCCGCGGTGCAGTTATATACACACGATCGTATTTATTACGCGTACACGCGCTTATCGTATATTAAAATAATGATAATAATATGTACGCACTTGGGAGCTAAGCGATTAAGGTGCGGTCTGTAATATTATTATATTGTATATGAGCAGAACGATATACGACTATTTTTGGGTGCGCGAAGCATCAGAATGCTCACGTGTGATGTGAGCGCACTGAAAAAAAACGTCGACGACCCTCTACTCTCTAGCACTACATTGATCTTCAACCGTCTGAAACAAATTTATAAACTATAATATTATAAATATTATTCAACAGTAAACAGAAGGATACATGCGAAGCGTAATAATGTCACGACAATTATATTTTATCGTGCACTCTTTCGGACAGTTTTAGAACTATATATTATCATATAATAAATTCACACTATATATACACATGCAGTATCTGTAAACAGTTTTATAGTTTTAAACCGTTTATTAAATAGGTGAATACGCGTTCACATCCAATTAATTATGGTTAGTGGTTACTGTACGTGAGGTGATAAATGTTCAAAATTAATTTGAAAAAAATTGAACACGATATTTGGCAAACACGGAGTTGGAACATTATTCAGTTATATATTCCTATAATTTAAAGAAAGATGAACGAAATATAAAATAATACATATAATTATTCTATAATCCGGAGCCAATTCCTATACCTAAACCCTACTCATATCAACCCAGGAATCAATTCAAAAATTTCACAGAAATATTGTAAGTACCGGTATTAGATTATATTTTTAGTTGTTAATTGTTATTTTCGACCTGCATAATACATTGCACAGTTGTCGAAGGAAATTTAAGGAATTTTAATTTTTAAAGCCTGATCGACCTAAAAGGGTCGTATAGTAAAATAACGTCGGCCTGTATAAAAAATATAAAAATAAAAGTGTAACATTTAAAATATACGCTCACAGATCAGACGTAAACTGTGTAGGTATAAACGGTTATCATTGCAATCAATCGAGTTATATAAAATATATTACACTCAGGCGGGAGTCCACTTACAACGATTGCTCTGTAGTGTGTGCATGTGCGTGTGTAATGTATATATATTACCTATAGGTATATAGTAGAAACTATTCAGTCACGTATTGTTACATATTATACAATAAATTATACACGAAATGTGTACAAAAAAACAAACAATTTAAGTTTATCTATTTTTAAAACTTGAGGATCAACATAACCATATACAATATAGTACCAAGGTACTTTAGATACTTATATATATAAATATATTCTAGTTGCTTATTCAATCATTTATTTTGTTTATAAGAGTCACGAGGCTATGATTTATTATTGTTACCATTACCTTATTATGATATAGTTGGAAGCACTATTTATTAGACTATTTATATATTATAATTACAATTAAATGTAGGTAGGTTGGGTTGGGACAACCGTAGACTGTAGAGTATGGTTGACAGAACTATACTTTGGTTGGCAAGAATTCCAAAGAATTTTTTTGGTTACATCAACTTAATTTTGAAAATAAAATGAGGTTATTTCTCAGAACTACGTTATAGTATGGTAGCCCCAATACTTACCACAGAATTTGGTCAGGATAACTATTTAAATTGTATCTATAACCATATACTTTTTTCTGTGTATGTTTTTTTATTATTACCTAATACCTATATGTAATCAAGATATATAAATCGTATATTAAATTCATCACCACGAAAACAAACAAATCGTGTTTAAACACCTATTTCATATATTTCGTTTGTACGTAATAGAAAAACTAAGGTTATTTCAAGTGTCAAATTAATTGATTTTAATCAACAGGTAATTCAATGTCTACAGTTCGATACCCGCCTGATAACAACATTTTATATTTTTTTTTTCAATATATAATAATAATTATAATCATAATGTGGCGATAATTGTATAATAACATATACTATAGTCTATAATATCCACATGCATGCGAATATTCTGCCAGAAAATGTATGCACAGTGTGAAAAGGACGAATATTTTTTCTCAGAATCTTGTAAAGGAATGGTTTAGTGGTAGACATCGGAGATGAGAAGCTTAAATTCCGACAGAGGAAGACGGCCATGCACGAGAGCTGAATTTATTAAAATAATTGAAAACAAAATCTAGTGTTTTTCGCTGGCCCTAGAAAATTTGCTCTTTGAACGTCCGGTGAAATTCCAATGATGATATTGGTTGCGAGACGACCAAATATCTCGGTCGTTGTGGTATAGTCATGGTCAGCGGCGGTCAATGGTGACGACGACGGCGACGTCTGCAAGAATTATAATCCTGAAACAAGAAAAGAAAAATAATAAACAAACTGGAAAGGTTCGGGTCGACAAATAAAATAAGTGCCCGTGATTGGGGTATGTGTGTGTGTGTGGTGTGAGAGAGTGAGAGAGAGAGAGAGAGAGAGAGAGAGAGAGAGAGAGAGAGGAGAGAGAGCTATTCGGAACCTAGGGTGGGGTGACTGGGAGACACGTCTTAATCCAAAACACCATAAATATATATATGTTATGTAGAATATAATGCAATATGTATGTATACAGTAACCTCAGATTTACGACTGGGCTGGATTATTCGGCCGGAGCTTAAATGCGGCTGTGGTATGTATCGGTGCGTAGGACATCATTTGAATTGGTAATTCAGATGGTCGGACGGACGGTAGTAAGTTTTTAGTCTCCTCTGGAAGCATGCCATTTTCTTTTCACTCTTTATTTTGCCCCGTGCTTCCGACTCGTGTTTAAGGCCTTATATTGTTTATTTTTTTTTCAACTATTAGATTTTGGTCTTTTATGATTTTTATGATTTTTTTTCGTGTTTTTGTCGTATTACACACGTCGGACACTGTCTCGCCGATCGCCGCCGATGACGACGACTATACAGTCTACGGCGATTTATTTACCCATTGTTTTCATCACATATGTAGGTACTATATAGGAACCTTATATTTTAGATATTCCAAAGCGCATTTCACAAAAACGTATTGATGGATCAGAGTATTTGAGAATAATCACTAAGAGAAAAAAAAAACCAATACAATATAACCCGAAAATTCCTCGTCGACCCACACTCGTACATGATATATCATATGTTACGTTTATTTTTATATTATATACTATACAGGGATGTCCTTTCAAATTCGATATCTTACTTCCTAATCTCATAACATTCCAGAAGCATTATGAAATTTGACTTTCAAATTATTTATATTCGTAGGTACAATACTAGGTACTTTAGACTGTATGTGCGTGTCGCGTACCTATATAAATTAAAATTATCTATACATTCGTTTATTATTTTATTATTATTATCGAATTTCAGTAAATGAATGACCGAATATTGAGTATAATAGAGTACATAATATCTTCACATAAAACATGTTAAATGGTATTATTTTAAGGGACAACCGAAATAGTGATAAATTTAACACATATACTTGCGGTTGCGACACATATCAATCCAATTGTTTTGTCTGTAAAATTGACTAAAATATTATCGCCATTTATAGGTGTCATCATCATTTGGTTCATTTTATTGGTATATATGTTATCGAGTTTAAAGCAGAGATTACTGTAATGAGTATAAATTATGACGATGGGTGGATACCATTGAATTAGTAAATCAATAGTATTCCGTAACGTAATCCATAATATTTTGAACAAACCAATGCATAAGCATCGCCATCTACATTTAATATTTATTAAATTATGTACTAGATATTTAAATAACATGATTAAATTAAGGTATTACGCCCACCGCGGGAATACAAATTATTGTATAAATTCAACACTGGTTACATACCTATACACTTAATTATAATAAGAAAAAGTCATGTTATAGTTCTTGCGTTTCGTAAATACTAAATGGTGTTTTAATATGATATTCGATATTTATGGTAACTTATAAAGAACCTGTTTTAAATTTCTGTTGAAGTACCTATACCTAAATAAATTATGTGCATAAAATGAGAGTTTAATATGTTTTATTATTTCATACCATCACAAATATATTCTAATACAAATACAAATATACATATTATATACACATCATTGCAAAGGTGTATACAATTGAAAACAATGTGCACAAATATATTATACACATCGTTACGCTCAGTCGTACCATAGTGTTAGGACTTTTAAAATCACTTACTTTTTTATTGGGTCGTATAACCGTTGCAGTGTTGTATGGTGATGTTAAGTATTTTACAAATGACCATGTCCCATACGTTATATGTATATATATAATATTAATATATATATTATGTGCATTATATGTGAGCTTGTGTGTATGTGTATAGTTTACAGTTGAATGAATGGTTATGCAATATAAGTATATAACATATTATACTACATATTATACCAATGACAAATCTCGGCGCACGTCATCAATTATTGCACTTTATTTAAATTACAGTTATTTAACATCAATTGACGCCGTTAAACCGTAGGCACATATTATGTGTATATTATATTTTAATGAAACGTCCCGGTCAATTTATTAGCGCGATAAAATTATTTTAAAACAACGTCGTATAATATTTCCAATATGAATAATAACAATTAATTACGACCGAGAAAAACCACTCCTCTGCAGTGTGTAGTCTATAGGTATCGTATAATATAATACGTGATTCTAATTTCATGTATACACGTGCGCGTATTTAATAACATCATAAAAAGTATATTTTGTATTAGCTTTGAACTATATAGAATTGTATTTTTTTCCATCATCATTGACATATATATATATAGCGTACACGCGTATAAATATAATTCTTTATCGTACATTCGTACCACCCAATACAATTTTTAAGGAAACAATACCTAAAGATTGTATTTCGATAACCGAAATTTTGTATAACAAAGTACCGCCAAGAAACTAAAATCATAATACCTATTCCAATGTTAGTAACATCGATTTGTTTACACATTATTAATAATACAATAATAGTAGTATAGTACAATACATGCGGTAACTGGATACGTTAACTTCAAATATTTTTTTTATATTTAACACATTTCGTTTGAACTTACCTATAGGTACTATACTGTCTGCAGATCGACAGCAAAAAATAGTGAGCGAATAATAATATGTCCGTTGACAATGTTCTCACGATTTCGATACTTTATGATATACTTAGTCACGATTTTCGAACAGTAGTTCTGCAGTTTTACCCATATCATCCACTGTCTGCATTATACTACAAGCGGATATTATATTATAGTTATTTGGAGAAATAATAACGAGTTGTATATTTGATAATCTATTATATAGACGAGCGTTGATGTTTTCACGCCCGACAGCGATTTCCTTTTTCGACGTGTACAAAAATATTATTAATTCTATTGTGGCAAGAAAGAGTTACACACATTTTACTGATTATAATATACATTCTATAGACGTAATTAATTATATTGACAATTCGTAACGCGCAGTCGCCGGCACGCATAAAACCATTAAACGTATAGTGCTATATACCTAAATAAAAAGCGATACACATAATTCCATAAAAAACGGTTCACCGTCTCGGCATTGTTTTCGTTTAGGATATTATATGTACACCTATTGGAAACGCCGCCGGCTAATGCAACTCGTGTATATGATATACGGGACCTATATAAAATATATTATATCATTATATTATGTTGTATATACAATATTGTGATACTATGAGCGATGAAAAATATTTTTTATATGTATAAAGAAAAAATGCGTACTCGATATTATTTTACTATCTCGAATCAAAGGATTGGAAATTTTATGAGCGCGTTTCGCTGTTTCTCGACGAAAACGATTATAATATAGCCGTATATAGGCTCAACCCTTTGCTGCAGGGAGCGGGTGGGGCAGATTCGTGAGTTTCGATATCGCTCGAGAATCGTAAAATCGAATTACTGCAGCAGCAAAATCGTGTACCTATATACTTACCTATGCAATATATTGTATTATGCGCTATAGGTTATATATATAATATACGTAATACGCGAGAAATCGGAAAACGCCATTTTACCTTATGTGCTTCGCGCGTATACCGTATATCACCTATATATTGTATATAAATACGTCAGAAAAGAAACCGGCGAAAGTCGAGAGTTTATCCAATATACCCAATACAAATATATATATATATATATATATATATATATATATATTATATAGTTTGGGGGCGAGTGGAACGCGCGATATAATAAAACCAACATGGTTCGACGACTTATTATATATAAGGCGGGGGTAAAAACAAACGAACGTTACTGCAGCGGAGGTGGAAAGAAAAATAAACGTAGGTAGGTAGGTAGGCAGCCCCCGTTCCGCCGCCGCCACCGACGCCGACGCCTCCGTGGAAGATATATATACCTATCGTAAAACCGAGACAAAAATCCGCTCTGAGATCGGCGGCGGCGTTGCGTTTCGCGCGAGTGTCTATATATAAGCTTATACCACCTATATATATACACGAGTATAAGTGCGCACAGGTGTATATGGGTATATGTGTACAAGAGCGGAAAGAGGAAATTTAATCCCGTGGCCATTCCCAAAGGGTTTCGCTCGAGCAACGCTGTGAGATAGAGAAAATGATTTCTCCGACACACACACAAAGTCCCTGGCGTATACAGCGATCCTGAACTTATATATACATTTGTGTGTGTGTGTGTATATAAGCGAGCATTGTGTGGCGTGTGGGGGGGAGAAGAAGTTTCTTCCAATCAACCGTATCCCCCGAGGGGCCGTGGACGGGACCGGGGGAGTCAAAGTCAACGTTTACGGCAACTGCGTTTTATGATGTCACCTGCTACGCGTGGAGAGTGCAAAATCAATTTCCCTCGACCCAGAACGCTTGTTGAGATAAAAATGTAATATATATATATTGTACCTTTATAAGAATCCACGTGTGACGAACGTGAGCGAACATCTTTGTCAGGTGGACTAAAACAATTTCTTAAAACTGTATTATAATGCATATTGAATTAAAACAGAAAAATATTCCGTTTCGATAAGACAAACTGTTATTTAAATGTGTCCCAAGAATTGGTAGGTACTGCAAATGTCATGACTTCATTTCAAACTATAATATCTTTGACAACCGCTCAGGTATCAGTAATGACTCATTTTTAAGGGCCGACATAGCTGCCCATTTCGTACGCGATTGCATTGTGAATTTATAATTATAAATATAAATATTTTGGCTTTGACGCGGCGCAACGTTAAAATTAAACCTCAACAACGTACACGATGTAGTAGATCTAAAAAAAAACCCTAGAATCACGCTTTCGCGTTACTCGTATAAT